CTCTCTCTCTCTCTCTCTCTCTCTCTCTCTCTCTCTCTCTCTCTCTCTCTCTCTCTCTCTCTCTCTCTTTCTCTCTCTTTAGCTCTCTTTCCTCAGATTGAAACAACAAATCGCCCTAGCAGATGCAGCTGCTCTCGCCCTCCGACTCGGAGCCGTTCTGCATCGGCGATTGATTCTGCAAGTCGACAGCTGCTTTTGTGTGTTAAGGCGTTGCATTTTCAACTTGCGATCTTATTAAAGCGTAGCAATTTCATCTCGGCCATTTTCCTCGGTGTATCTTAAGAAACCAATTGAATCGTTTATGCGTACAAAAAGAACCAATTAAATCAACGCGTACCCAACGTATCGAAGGTTCGGCGCAGCCCTATTTGTCGTGCCAATAGGAGGTGAATGCATCTCGAAAAATAAAATACCAAAGAGACTTGTGCACTTGTTGCAATTTGGCAATGTTATTGGTCAGTAAATACATTATTGCACTTGATTTAACATTTGATTGATAGCCTTAAACTTAATCAATGCGTGTTGAGGTTCCGATAATACAATGAATTCTTACAAACCAAGTAAAGTACAATGCAATTCTTAACGATATTACAGTAAACAAATTTTTTTTTGACGACTTTTCTAGTATTATCTACAAATTTCTAAGTAATGGTCTATCAATTATACTGGTAGTTATCGCTGCCAAATCGATGATCTCCTAACTAGTTTCCTTTTAGTTCCCCTCTAACCGATAATCCTTCATGAGAATACAGCTCTGATTTAATTGTGTACAACATCGCGCTTTAATTTCTGTTTATCAAAGCTAGGAATGGTGACTATCGAAAAAGCGTATAAAAGTTGAAAAATGGGACGGAGAATATGTTCTAGAAATACTGGCTATAAGTTTTTCAAACACAGAGAGATTCTTGTAGACAAAAATGTTGTGGAACACAGAACGAAACGAAACACATGTATTGCAACAAAAGGTTCGATTCAACGTAAAGTTCAATTAAATTTTTAACTAACTTTTTCGGAATTAATTGCCCACAAATGTTATCATCAATCGAGCCTAATATAAAAAATAAAGATTTTCTTAGAGCGTTTACGAGCTCTACATATATGTATAATTATCAAAAATATTAAAATTATTAATAAAGTTTTACTTCATACAAATTCGTTATACGTAATTTTGGTAACTTTTCTCGACAATTATTCTTAATGGCCTTTTTCCTAATTTAAGAAAAAACAAGGGGCAAATAAAAGTCAAGCAAGGCAAAAAAATTAGTTAAAATAAATTCTTTTCAATAAATTATGTTCTCAATACCTTAAAAATAATAGTGAAATAACAAGAGAAATTAGCATAAGGAAAATTTGAAGAAAATCATAGACGAGAGGACAACAAAAATATTATTTTTCAAAAATTTCTTTTTATATTATCAGTAGTTTAAGTTTCTTTTGTACATAAATTAGGATATTATAATATAATAGACAAATAGTCAACAAAGGAGACATTAAAACAGACTTATTAGAAATCAGAAGTCTTTTTTATCAAACATTTAAACTGTAATATGCAGTATTTAGACAAATCAGCTTCTTCTATTCTTTTGTAAACAAATTTATAATCCGGAAAAAACATATAAATAACAGTTTAAAGAAAAAAAATACTTGACTTAATAAGAGAAATCCGAGTTTGTATAGAGCTGTACAATTATTCTACTCTTAAAGTATTTGTAGAAAAGAGAAAGTTAGCTGCTAATTATTCACTCATTTCGTAAAAAAAATGTCTTTCTTAAATGTTTCTGTCCCCTCGTTTGCTCCCTTTTTTCTTGTCTTTTACTGACTTTCCAGCGTCAATTAATCTCCATATATTTAGAGTTAAATCAGATTAAACTTTTAATGTCGAGTTTCAGCTACTTATTGGTTTTCCTATAGCGTCGAATAGAGCTAGGATCCGCATTATTAGTCAGTAGGACACGATTATTTGAAATTTTCAATTTAATTGTCTCAAGGACTGCATTTATATGTAACGCGTTTAGTCTATAATTCATAATCTCCAAATCGATGTAACTGTCGCTAAATATCGTAAATGCAAATGCAGCTGTCTCATTTTCTCTACTTATTGCAAACGTGTACAATTAATATCTGATTCTTGAAAACTGCGAAATAAATAAGAACATAGAAAATACGATTCACTTCTATTAGCCGTTTAATGTCAATTTGAGCAATTGTCGATGTATGTTTAATTGCACGCGTAAAAAAAATGTACGGTGTGAAACAACCGATATTAACAAGCGAAATAAACTTGGGTGAACTTTGATAGTTTAGTAAAAGCTACGTCAACTCTTTCTGCTCTGATACATAGCGTCGATGGAAAATAATCCCAATGGAACTAAGAAGGCAAATAAAATTTAAAAACTCTCCTTTATGACATACATAATAAACGTAGCGAAATGTTCAAAAATAGGAAATACTTTTACCAATCAGCGGAAACTTAAATAAGAAGATGCAACAAAAATTTGGAAAGTATTACTTTAATCCGAATAATTATTTCCATTGGTTCAGTAATAATTTGTCAAATTCAAGCAATTTTGATTACGTGACGACAACAGAGGATAAAAACACTTTATTGTATCTTTTAGTCCCCTTTAATATACGAGAATCCAGATCGACAAATTTATAGTGTTTTAGAGCGATTCGTTAAAGATGCTTCATAATTTTTATCAAGAATGTATTGCCGCATCAAGGCCGAAAGAGTTATAATAGCTATGATCGGCTAATATACGGAAAAACGTCATTGTGTAAAAGCAGTCTTAAGCTACTGTGAGAAACTGTACTTTTTCTTGTCTTAATAAAAATCGTTGCTGTTCAGTGCACGGCTCCCCATTAGTTTTCCGATTTCACGAAAACCACAGGCCGAGTGCCAATCAGTTACCCCTAACATCCTAAGTCATTAACTTATAAGTTAACTTAGCTCAGTGTTTTGTCTACTAGTCAGGGCATCGAACAGAAACAGAATTACATGTTATTCTCTTCAAATAGTCTCGAAACAGAACGGGGCAAAATAAATTAATTATATTAATATTATTAACGTTTAAATAATTAATATTATTGTATAATAATCTTATACATATATATATAATTTCCTTAGAAAATGCCCAAGAAAACGTTACTCGATTTTATCAAAGAAATTATAACGTTCTCAAGTAAATAATAACATATTAATATTAATACTTTATTATTTTCTTATGAAGCACACTGAAAAATCGACAAGCTCTCTTAGAAATTTTCTTGGAAAGTCGGTTCATGTTTCTCGAAGAAGATCCTCGAACCGCTCCAAAGCGATCCGGGGCGGTTCAAGGCCCTATTCGGAGATTACTAATGGCGAATTCGGTTGTCTGCACCAGTGCACACTGAGTGCACGCTAAGGCCTGTTTATAGTCGATTTTTACATTTAACTTTGTCTTAAATACATGTTCAAAGAGTATTTAGCCAAAAGTGATCCGTATGGATGCTATACAGATCATTTCGCTCACTAAGAAATATTTCAAGTGATATTTAAGACGATCCTTAAATATAAGAATTGACTGTAACCAAGCCTTAGTGTGCACTCGGTGCGCACTGGTGCAAACAACCGAATTCGCCACAAGGCTCCTTCCGATTCGATTCGATACCCTGCTACCGTATAGGCCGACGACGACTTAGCATGCACAACTGCTCTCCGAGGCTTTCAGTTCGATTGGCGTGTCCTTGAGCACTACCTCTTGCACTACGGATTAAAGAACATATTAAGGAAAACACAAAAGTATAACGCAAACAAATGGAAGGTCCGACGGATCGCTAAATAAATCCAGTCCCGAAATCAAGAGCGAGAAATTTGAATGGCTAGCGAGCGAATCTTGCGAAAACTGCGGCGAGAAATTTGAGTCTTTGAATTGTTCATAAAAATCCAATGTGTACCTTGTAAAAAAAGTTTAACAAAATATATAAAACGCGGGAAACGTGAGTGTCGCATTTGATATCCTGAGCCTCTGTTCCGTACACGATTACCGACGACCATCGATATCGTTAACGACGTTTGCGCAGCTGTTCTATCGTATGTAAAAAAAGCTGCGCAAACGTCGTTAACGATATCGATGGTCGTCGGTAACCGTGTACGGAATAGAGCCCCTGAAACGAAGTACTGATAATCAATTGATTACGCGATAAAAAAAAGGGGGGAAAGACGAAAGCGTATAAAAGTAGATTTTTGTCGTTGCAATTCGAGGAGATAATAGAGAGAAAAAAAAAGTCAATAGTAATAATATGCAGAATCGAAGGAGCAGATAATAACGGGTAAAGTGGGAATTATGTACACGTGAAATAAGAGAAGTCGTCGCGAACGTTCCTGCAAATGTGCCATGCAAATTGCGTGCAGTAAGTATCTTACGCAAAAGGATACTGTCTTCGGGGGGCTTGTTTTCGGTGGAATCCATACCCGGCAGGGCCGCCGCTACTCTTCTGAATAGCTGAAACAATTAACAAATTACTATTAATTTAATTTCGCTCACTTCCGCAAGTCGAAAAGTTCCTCCGCGATATCGAGCGTAAAACGAAAAAGAGTAACGCAGTTACCTGTTTAACGTTATAGCCGGCCTTAGCACTAGTTTCGATAAACATCACATTTAGCTCTTTCGCTTTCCGCTCGCCCTCTTCCGTCGAAACTTGCCTCTTATCACTCAAGTCAGTTTTATTGCCCACTAGCATAATTATCACATCACTTCCTCTTTCAGTCCGCACATCGTCTATCCACTTGGATGTTTGATGAAACGAGTTGGCGTCTGACAAATATGTAATTTTAGTTTCGCAGCTCATTTGTCGTGGTGTACGAATAATAGCATATGCCAGCGCAAATGAATTTACATTATTATTATAAACATTATTTATTGATATCAAGTTACGTTAACAAGGTAATAATTCGCTAAAATCCACAGAGGAAATTAAAACTGTCGGTTTAATTATTTTCTTTCTATCTCTAATTAACATGTTGTTGGTATAGATTTAAATTTGAATTTTTTTTCTATCAATACTGGCAATTTGATGAAATATACCATTTGAAATAAATTTTCTTTAAAGAAACATTAGAGAATCTTCAAACAGATTCAAAGTTAAGAAATCGAACTAAAAAATTGATAAATTTATGGAAAATATATGTATGTTCGTTATACAAATAAATTTAAAGTAAGCTTTAAAATTCGTATCGTTGAACAAGTATAATATTTCAATGTTAAATTCGAAATTACGGGCATGTAGCTTTTCAGGACACCGTATTCCTTATATACCGAGTGTATATATTGCTTACTGGTAATATCGTAAACAACGACTGCGACAGTAGAATCTCTGATGTAACTAGGTATCAAAGAACGGAACCGTTCTTGTCCCGCTGTATCCCACAGCTGTAGTCTGACAGTTCTGTCCTCGAGATACATAGTTTTACTTAAGAAATCTATTCCTATCGTAGCCTGCAACATAGCGACATATCGAAATATTAAAAGTTAATCAATCTGTTACCATAGTATATGAAAATGTAAGTAGAACGAACTCATTCTTAGAAGTTGACAAAACCATTAGAATTGCAAACTTAGTAAAAAAGATCAAACCAATTTAAATAATGTACAATATTTTTGATATGTGATGATTAATATAAAAATATTTCTACTGACACCAGATACTTATTAGAAATATACTAAAAGCGGTATGAAATGCGTACTTATTCTATTTGTTAACTTATTATAACGTAATTAAACGCAATATAATTTGTTAACAAAGTGCCAAACGGATAATGTGATATTACACGGTAAATGGAAAGAGAGAAAGAAAGAGAAGAGCGAGTTATCGACGTGCTATAAATTTCGTATCTCTTTTTATCTTTGTCGATTAGAAAAAGTCAATATCTTGGTTCCCTACTGCCTCTCCTACTAGCATTAGGTCTTTTCGTTCCTACTGCACTTTCTTACACTCTTTCTGCATTTACTGTCAATAATTATATAAAATTATATAAAAACAGTTAAAAGATACAAACAAAACGACAAAAAAGCGATTGTAACTAACAGACAAGATGAATTAAAAATAAATGCAATTTCCTTAAAAGTCTAAACAAAATTTGAATAATTTTGCAAACCGAGAAGCAGATGGTAAACAAACTGTTTAATGTGTACAAAGGATAAGTCGCCAAACATTTTATAGCCATTATTCAACACACACGTCAATAAAAAGTTACTAAGCATTTGAAAATAATATCTACAACAGGGTAAGAAATAACAGAGTGGATAAAAATCAAGCATTTTATTTCGCACACATGTATAGTTTATTACAGTGAAAAAATTAATTTGGCGGGATTGTGGGGATTTAGGAAGCACACAAAAACATACACATACGTTGTAAATTATGTTCGTGCAATTGAAAACTTTATTTGGTAAATGCTATTTATTGCGACGGTGATAACTAACGGAAAATGGAAAGTAAAAAGGACGGAAAATGCAAGTTACTGAAAATAAAATCTCAATTCGTAATTTTAAACAATTTGATTCAGATTATTTAATTAATAATACATATTATATATACATATAGTTCAAACGATAACATTTCAGTTTACTTTCCGTCTGAAAATCTTGCCATTGAATGAAGATTCCTGGATGCTATTGCATCTAGGACCGGTATTCATAGTCAGATCTTCTATTCAAGACCGTCTTGAATTTATCTAAAGACGCTGTATGGAACATTTCATTGACCATGGTACATCTAAAGATGATCTTAAGACGGTGTTGAATGTAAGATCTGACTATGAACCGACCTAGCACAGTTTATAGCCAAACACAATAATCATCTTTCATTCAGATGTATCAGAATTTATAGCCAATTTTATTGGCTACAAATCGCGCGAATATAGAACCTCATTAATTATTCGAGAATTAATTCCTGTATAAAAACATATTTATCTTTAACAAATCTAAATGTAGATATTCTTAATAAAATATAATACAAAAAATTCATAAAACTTTAATAACGATATTTAAAATGCAAATTTCGTAAATTTAGATTAGAATTTTAACGAAGCTACGTTGTTTATTAAATATTCACATTATTATTCAATATATTGATACACTGACCTCTTAATTTAAAGCGTAGACTATTACAATTTTCCACAACCTATATTAACAACGTGCATGCAGTAAAAATTGGTGCGAATACAAGTTTGAGGAACACGACAAAAATCACCATATTTGTACTAAGTAAAAATTAATAATTAAGACATAAATAAATCATCACGTACCTGGTATGTGTTGTCAAAGCTGTCATACATAAACCGCGTAATAAGGGACGTCTTCCCAACTGCAATGAGAAATTACATAGCGCATTTATTCAGACAATTTGTGTCCTTAATTTTACCAAACTATTACTCTACTACTTTCATTAATTTCTAATCTTAAAAATCTCCAGAAATTATCTCTTACGTTAAATTTGTATTTCTACGTTATGTTTTTTTTTCTGTCGTGAATTGAACAATTAGCAAAATTGACATCCCAAACAGCATCACCCCAGTGAGAAATGATTCGTCAATCGATGTCAAAACGATGTCGATTCGACATCGATACCGTCAAATTGACGTCGATTCGACGTCGTTTCGACGAGTCATTTTTCGCTGGGATACAGGCGATCGTATGAATTTAAAAAGGATTAATCTTTTTGTGAATTCGATCTTATCTAAGTAACGTATTCAAAATGAACTCCTTTCTGACGCGAATTCTTATAAAAAGAATTTCTCTTGAATTCGAAAAAAGCTCGGTATTGGTGACATAAAGATGAAGTATATTTCAATTTCCAAAAGTTTTCGTAATTTGCAGGTTCAGAGTGAATTCTTCTTGGACTCTGCGAATTAAATTTCATCGTCTAAATATTTCCGTCGTTATTTCGTAACAAAAAGCGTCCAGAAGAAATGTCCTAAGAACGAGTGGTTTTAACAGTTTTCGCTACGCTTATACTTTGCGCGAGACACCACCGTGTCACTTGATCAACGCTAGACGTTGCACTCGGCGAGAAGCGCAGGGCGCAGACACCACGTTGCACGTTTCGAGCGGCTGAAGACCGCGCGGGCCGAACGAGTGGCAGTTAACGCGGCGACACCGTGTCGTCTTCGCGGACACGACACGGTGGCGGCGGCGGCGGCGGCGGTGGTGGGGAATATTGATCCATAACCTAGAAGGGTACCAGGCGACGTCGGAAAGGGTCGTCACCCCTGATCGGGCCTGCTGGCCGCAGGACCGAGCTCGCGATCGCGTTTCCCCCCCGGCGGGGAAAATCGATCCACCCTTCGCGGGACACACCGGCGGCACTTGTTGACACATCGTCGCCGTACACTCACCGCTCTGCTCGCCGAGGAAGACGAGCTTGAACTTCCGCAACGGGTTACCGAAATCGCCCGAGGACGACATGTTTTTCGTTGGACGCGCCTGAACGGACTCTCGGCAGGCCTGAAACCGGCGGTTGCGACGCCAACGGGTGCTCGATTGCGCGCTCAACGGCCGCCACGACGAGTCATTTAAACGATCAGCTGCGCCGGCCGATCGGAGTCTCCGCTAGCTCGCACGGGCTCGGGCTGCTCAGGGCCGACAGCTTGACAGCTCGCGACGCTCGCTCGAATGCCACTCCTTGCTGCGAGTCGGCCACGTTTAACTGGGAAGTGACGTTGCGACGTGAAAAACGGAGTCGCTGAGAACGCCGTAGGCGGCACCACTGATTTCCGAGAGGAGAGAGGGCTCGCCGATGCACGCACGCCGGTGCGCTCTCCCGCGACTCGAAAAAAGAGTCAACCTATTACGTTCCCCCGTGGATGCGCGCTGGGTGACCAATCAGAAGTTGCTGCCAGACTCTTAAAAAAAATAGACCTAGCTGCGCCAACTGCCAACATTGGTCTACCGCTTCGGAATACCCGTTTCAAGTCGGATAACCTGTCTTCGTGAGGGTTTGCTCATCAGCTTCCGCATTTGCCTACACTTTTGCGAAAGTGTTCATTATGTCTTTACTGTATGATTAATTTTCTGTTTTAACTCGCATCCGCATTTGGATCAATTCTCGACTGGAACTGGGACTCTTCTCCGTCAAATCAGCAAAGTGACCCGATGGAATCGAGATAATTCGCGTATCTCCTACGGATCTGCTGTGCAAAATTTACTGTATAACACAATTGTATTACAATCCGTTTCTGAATAAAGAGAAATTTTTGAAACACGGCTTCTAGCCGCAATAATAATTTTTATTTTTATACACGTATATACATGCCATACACATGAACCTGCATGCATTTGGTACAAGAAGCACATATAATGTACATATATGTACACATCACAGAGAGAATTCCATGCAGCATCCCTCAGACGGACTACTCCTGGTGTGGCCGATTGTTATTTCTGTAGGGGTCCTCTATGACGATGGAGTGGCAGATCAGGTCGTAGCCGGTTCGGTTAAACCGGAAGAAGAACAGGGAGAAGCAAATCGGGAATATAAACGCCAGCACGAAATTCTTCACCATTGATCGGCCCAGTGCCAATGGCAGACCCAGGTCAGTTCCAGGGCTCACCAGGACCATATCCGGCTCATTCGGACGTTCAACGGGGGTTATACTTCGGCACTGAACCACCCGTAGACCCATCATATACTTGCCAGGAGTAGCGCCTCCGATAAGACCGTACACCCCGTGCTGAAGCCAAAAGGCCTGAAGCATTTTACGGAAAAAGAAAACGAATTAATAATTTATCCCCTTTTGCGGTGACTTGTTTACTTTATAGAGACTATTTAATATATTTCACAGCAAACACCAGCCAACAATTACATAATGTATTGATATAGTTTTCCACTCAACGTTATAACTGTTACATACAACATGTGTTAGATTGCATTTATTTGTTGAATGGGAAATTACAATATTTCAAAAGTAATCGTTTCTAGAAGATCAAAATGACATATTTATTTAATACTTTCAATGAAACATAATTTTATGTCTATATTTTGACATTTCGATGACCTTGATCGAGAAAATTGCATTTTACGAACTTATGAAGATATTTGACTTTTCAAGCATTACTATCCTAATTGTCAAATCACAAGATACAAAATGAAAACTCCAGAATACAAATCATATTTTCATTATAATAGCACTATATCTGTTAAGAATATTTTGTGTTCATCGCTATTCATTCCCAAGAAGAAATAAAAAGTCAAGACAAGTCAATTTGACGTCATATTGACCAAAATATCTTGATTTTTCATTTCTCCTTGGGTTATTGCCATATTTAAGGTCTAAGGCTGGTATTACATTTGTCGCACAACAAAATTTTTCAAGTGTGTTGACTGGCAGGATAATAAACTTCTCGAGTATCTAGAAATTTTCTATTCAGCAGTCAATCAACACGCTTAAAAAAATTGTCGTGTGACAAATGTAATATTAGCCTAATATACAATTATGAATATTAGAAATAATCCATGTTCAAATAATTGCAGAATCGTTCAAATATTCAAGTTTATCTTCAAGATCATAATTTGATAAATTTTCTGTGATAATCAAAATATAACTTAAGATAGTCATTTTGACTTCATCGTGACTTCTTATTCTGCTTAGGATATGGTCGGTATTCATAATATCCATTCTTATTTCTTAAACAATGTCTTAAAATACTAATAGGGCTCTCTGTAATTGGCTTATAATATCTTAGAGACCTGAGTAGAGAGAGAATAGCTGTCTTGTACTTTTAAGAACCTGTGTTATGTTTTAAATCTGTCTTGAAGTGACTTGCTCCGGTCCTAAGATTGTACTTAAGACAATCTAAATATAAGAACGAACTATGAATACCGACTTATATGTATAAGTGTCAGCTGATGTTTACTGGGTTATGAGGTATCAATGGAATTTCCTCACCTCGAAGATACAAACTATCACGCGATGAATTACTTCTAGAATCAGAATTCCATAAGTCATCTCCAGAGCCATTTTATAATCAATACGTAAATTTGTTTGCAATAAATCTAAGTCCTCGATGTCTCTAAAACATTAAAACGGATGTTAGAAATATCAGAGACAATTGATAAGAAATGTAGCAATTTTTTAACACTTGACACATTGTACTTGACAAGTTTTATCCATTCATACGGAATAAATACTTCTAAATGTCTTTTGTTATGTTTTTCTACCTACATAAAGTCGAAGACGTCGATTGCGATGAAGGTAATGGAAAACTTCAGAAGAAATAGCATTGTCGAATCTATAAATTCTGCTGCGAACCTCTTCCAAATCGGAGGAATTCGATACTCATAGCCTGGAATAGCCGATGAAATTAAGAGATATAAGTCAACGACATTCTACATGTATCTAACAATTTAATAATTTTTTCAGATTGATAAAAGTACAAGGGTCTAACGACTAACAAATAGACCGGCGAAAGAAAAGGGCTCGGAGCGCGTATGTGTCCTAGCAATTGCTTTACTAAATAAACATCAAACATTTCAATCTGCCACCATCTTTAGTGGTAAAGAAAGTAAAAAGTATAGTGTCTGGAAAGCATGTCTCGTGTAACAAATTAAACTCAATAACATCGTAAAGATAAAGTTAGGGCCTGAGCAAAATGGCTGTTTTATACTCTTAAGACAACCTTAAGACAATGTTTTATGTTTTAAGCCTTTGTCTTGAGGTAACGCACAATAACTGTCTTATATCTTAAGAGTACAAGACAGCCATTCTGCTCAGGCCCTTAGATATAAGAACAGTAGTACAGAGATTCAAATGTAATGTCATGTAAAACCAAATTAATGCTATTATGATCAGTCACAGCTTGTATTCGGCGAAATGGAATACTCTGTCGCGGCTCCGAGCTCTTTTCTTTCGTCGGTTGATCTTTTAAAGACTGATTCTTAAAGACCATCAGTTCCTGGAGGTTGGACGGGTCCCGTGGGTTGCTCCTGTGGCCTCCTTTGCCTCGCCGTCTCATTTTGTCTGTCTACATTTCCAGTTATCACCCCTTGCGTATTAGACGACGCTGGTACCTGATTCGGTTGGAAGGGCGTTGATGCTGAAATCATACCTTCCTTGAGGCCCGATTCATTTCTAATAGCGAATTTGATTGCTTGCACTAGCGCGCACTGAGCGCACACTAAGGCCGGTTTACAGTCAATTTTTATATTTAACTTTGTCTTAAATATATGTTCAAGGAGTATTTAGCCAAAAAATTATCCGTGTGGATGCTATACAGATCATTTTACTGGCTACGAAATATGTCAAGAATATTTAAGACGATTATTAAATATAAGAATTGACTGAAAACAAGTCTTAGTGCGCACTAGTGCAACCGAATTCGCTATAAGTCTCTCTAAAATGTGTATCGACAATTTCTTAAAATGATCTCTACTCTATATACGTAGTTAGAATCATTGGATTTGTCCAAAAGCAATTAAGAATGCGATACCTTAACAATACTTATCAGAAAAGTGCTCGTCACGTATGTGAGAAAAAGGGAGAGGACAGGAAACTTCTTCAAATTTTCCGAGTACGCGGGTGTCTCGAAACTTTTTCATTATATCGACTATGATTTTGTGTTTGTACTATATATTGCTTACACATTTTGAAACCAATTTAAATTCAACATGACGAGCTGTGCGATCTCAAAATGAAGGCAGTCATGTTCTGCCTCACGCAGCGTCAGGCGTGACGATTTCAAAATACTCGCGTGCCCACGTACCAAGTATCGGATTCGCAACGGACTGCCCCGACATCATGCAGTAGGGAAACATCGCGGCGACTCTCTGCCAAGCGTACGCCTCCTGGAGCCATTCTTCCAGCTTTTTGAAATACCGCGATCTCTCCTCCGCCGGGTCCAGCTTGCCCTCGGAATCCCGTCCCGGCGTGTCATCACTTTTGTCGTCTGCCATTTTGGCCTCGCTCGCGTCAGAGAATAAATCGGCACGTCACTCGTTAAAATCGCGGAGGCGAGCTGTCGGCGTCGCTTCTCTGCCTGCCTCGACAATTTTCTCCCCCTTCCTCCGGCGCGATAACAAAATACTGACAATTGTCAGGTAGCGCGCGATTGTCACCTCGTCGACTAACGTTTGTCAGGGCCAGTTGACAGACGCGAATGCAAGGTGCGTCGGGAGGGAATAAACAGGCGCACCGTTGACCCTTTCTTAATTGTAAATACTTGCAAGACACGTCCGTCGCGATCGGTCACCGCGCTCGTACGCGCCAGCTAACGCTTGCCTATCACTGACGTGTATGATATCAAATGGATGCAACGCGAGGCTTTCTACGGTTACGATAGACCAGTGAATTTCCGTCACGACAGCGTTTCCCCCAGACTCCCATCGTGGGGAGAGCTCTAGGCTGACGTCTAAAACGTATTTCTGACCCTGAGAATTATCAATTAATGTTTAACAAAACTTTCGAGTGCCTTCCATTTCCACGGGATTAAAAGCAAAAACCTTTCGCTGTATGCAATATTTTCCTTGATATTGAAACAATCTGCAATTTTCTCCCAAACGAAAATTCGGGGCCATTAAATATTACCGTTTGCTGGTAAAAATGTACTAGCGATGAACGTGTTTCTAAAAATAAGCAAAGGATTCTGCGACGAACAGGTGCGAAACGTTCGTGCGAATCTTTCGTAAAAGCGTTTCGCGGTGGTTGACGTTCATCGCACTTTTTGTAAATAATTTTGAAGGGACTGTCGAGTACGCGAACAGAAACGAAGTCGTTCAAATCCGACCTCTGGTAGCTAAGACTGGTACCAGAGGTAAAAGGATAACTGAGACTTGTCCAAAATGACGATTTCCGAATTTTGTCCCGATTATTATTTGTCTCGGCAAGGAATCGCCGACAGGTAGAATGTAACGCTGTGCTGCGTTCCGAATTTTCTCCTTTCAATAATTGTGCATGACAAAACGTACATGTCATTTGCTTCGTATATTTGTTATGTATAAATTTAGAAAAGACACGATTTGATTTAAAATTGCATTCGCTCCGACAGTTTAATGAATCAAATGCAAAGAACGATTTGGTTTAATCCAAGATTTAATCTTGCGAGGCGATTTAGTAAAAAAAAGTGCAACAGTGGTACGATTAAAAAATTTCACGCGCACACATCGGACGACAGATCCAAGATAATTGGATTTCTTTCACCGTCGCATCTCCGTAATTATTCCTTTACCAAAATTTTCCCCTCCAAACGCGTTCACCTGTTTCAATTTAAATGCTCCGAACGCTCCAAGTGGGAAATATAAATAGAACAAACCATATGTTCCGCTAGTGACTTTCTCTTCAACCAGCGCATTCCGAGATCATCTGTCTAGAGTGAAGGTAAAAGAGCAGAGACAAAAGTCCACCCCGGGCGAGGGTGACAGCGCGATCGGTCCCGTCCGGACTCCGTTTCGATTTCCCGCGAGCCTCTCACCCCGCGTCCGAATTTTCCCTGTACTCAAAACTCGACGGACAGACCCGAGTTATCCGGCCTGAGTCCGAGAGGGGGAGAGCCTGGGAGAGCCGAGTGTCGAAAGGAAATAGGGACTTTCCTCTGAGCCGGAGCGCGGGCGCTCCGGAGGAGCACTGGTTCCTGGTCGTGCGACGTGCTCGCAGCTCCGGTTCAGTAATCACGGTGGGTCGTGATGCGCGTTTCCGACTGACGGGCGGCAGCAGCGGACCAGTAGTCGTCCTCTTGGTGCGCGCGAGACCCTCCGCGAGCGTTCGCCAGAACGGGTGCGGTGCGGTGCGACCCGCCATCGTGTTACACGCCGCGAGTGAGCCGCCGGGGGTGAGTCGCCGCCGGGGTCGTCGGGGTGGTCGCGTGGGAGCGTCGCGCCGTCGCGACGCCGTCTCGCGCCGCGGCGACAGTGACAGCTCCAGTGGAGCACCCGAAGCGAGGGTGTGGGCTCGCGCGACGCGGGACCATCGCGGCGCGGACCCTTAGGTAAGGTTCAGCCAGGACCAACTGGCGCCAAGCGAGGTCCTCCGGCCGAGGGATAGGGTTTCCCCGAGAGACTCTCCCCGCGGTTCCCCGCTTCCGTCTCGCGGTCGCACGCAATTCCTCATCCTCGCGGGGAGACGCGTGACGCTCGACTTCCGGCTGCTGGCCGACGGGAGCGAGGACTCGAGTTCCCCCTCGTGTCCATCCTCGAGAGGGGACGTTCTTCCGTTGCTCCCCAAGAGAAAGAGAGAGAAAGAAGGAGAGAGAGGGAGAGAGAGAGATAGCCTGACTCCGAGACCTCTACGTGCAAGAGGAGAAATAGGAGCGCGCGCGGCTCGTCCCCGCGCCTCCTTTGAGTCATCTCAGCGGAACGCCAGCCAGCCGGAGTTCCGGAAATTCCGACAACTCCGAAAAACTCGAGCTACTCGCGCACCGCGTTTGCGCCCGCTCGTAAACAGACTGCCTTGACCATAGGAACATTGTTTCGCCTATCCTTATCTACTTACAGTCGTGCGTTTTCTAGCACGCGCGTCTGAAAAAAACAGAGGGAGGTAGAAAAATGAGTGAGAAAACGCCGCGCGAGCGTTTACCTGCTCGATTTGAATTCACCGAGAAAGTTGGAAAGTCTGATTTTTGACAAACGAGACCGATGCTGGAGATAAGAAAAATCCTTCTTTATCTGGACAAGTTTTATTGACGGAAACGTAAATCGTTCCCGAAATCCGGCGTTCTGGAGGGGAAACTTGGAATCCAGATGAATTTATGTGTGGCCGCACAAAGTGTACACGAAAAGGAATCAATTGGATTCAAGTTAAAAGTTTCCGCACGGTCGAGTTTTACTTTTTTTACGCGACTGCAGAAACGAGCCACGCGAACGGGCCTTTATTGAAAGAGCTGCATTATTGCAAAAGCGTCCGAACCGGATTATTTGTCACGCGTCGCGCGTCTAACTGACGTGAACAAATACGTAGAAAGGTTAAAATTTAAATTTAAAAAAGATCAATTTAAATTGACGCAGCTGTACAATGAACGGCTGTAGAAAAACAGAATATGATGAAAGAGGAATTCGGCAAACTTTTCCGAATGCATTTAAAAGAATTGCGAACTTTTGAGGGACTGCTGTAGCGATTCTGTACTTTTTACACCTTTCGCTCCTAGAACTGTCGACTCGCGAAAACGTTTGTGTAATATGCAAGTTACTTGGCCTTTGTGTACAGACCGACAGTGTTTCACTATTCTATGAATTAATGTTTTTACAAATTGACGGTTCTAAATGCAAAAAGTGCAAAGGGTGCACAATTACACCGGTATTCCTTTAAGGAAATGCTGGAGTAATTCTACACTGTTTGCACCTTTTGCTCCTGAAACAAAAATCTGTTTAATCGAATAAGTTATAGATCACCTAACCTACAACTTATTTAAATGAACAGACTTCTTTCTAGGCTTCTATAAACTTAGTTTCAATGATACTGTGCTGTTCCTTCATTTAGTCCGAATAGTGGGACACTTTCGATCTGTACACAAAAGCTACGTAATTTGTATATTACTCAAGTGTTTTCACGAATCGGCAGTTCTAGGAGCAAAAAGTGCAGAATCACTCCAGCATCCCTTCAAAAGTTCGCAATTCGTTCTTTTAAATGCATTCAGAAAGTTCGCCGAATTAATGTTTTTACAAATTGATGGTTCTAGATGCAAAAAGTGCAAAAGGTGCACAATCACTCCAGTATTCCTTTAAGGAAGTACTCCTACACTTTTTGCACCTCTTGCTCCTAAAACAAAAGATCTATTTACTCGAATAAGTTATAGATTACCTAACCTATAACTTATTTAGGAGAATAGATGTTTTTAGGCTTCTAAACTTAGCTTCAATGATACTAAGCTGTTTTCTGATTTTGTCCGAATAGTGGAACACTTTCGATCTGTACGCAAAAGCCACGTAATTTGTATATTACACAAATGTTTTCACGAATTGACAGTTCTAGATGCAAAAAGTGCAAAAGGTGCAAAATCGCTCCTAAGCGTTTCCTTAAGACGGTAAATAAATGCGAAAAATGCGGGCAAGTGAGACCGCGGAGAATCGCCGTAGATTTCCCGACGCGTTTCATTCGTTCGCCGATTTGGAAACGACCTGTACGCGCGATCGTGTGAAGAAACGCGTCGGGAAGGAATTCCATCTGTCATCGCAGCAGATCGCGAAGATCGCGCTTGTATCATTAATTACCGCGGATCTCCGTCGGCGAGAAGCCCCGCTCTCTTTGCTTTTCACTTTTGCGCTAATTACGCAACATTAATTATCTTTACGCCCGTAGTTTACATTCTCTTTATGTAACATAACGCGCACGTCAGGTAATAATTAATTGACCGTCCAATTGGACATTTAATCGCGAGAGTTTCGTCACGCGGCTCGCTCTCGCGTTTATTCTAATTTATATTCGCCAGCTATTGCCACTTTTCCTTTATTATTTACCCGCGTATCGGTAATATCGGTTTGCTTATCGGTCCTTTATACGATTTCCAACGATGACTTCATTGTATCATCGTAAATAAATTGCGACGCAACGCCAACCGCGTAATTCGACTTCATTACTATCGTTATGAATTTTATTATCATATCATTATCGTAATTCTCGCCAGCGCCACGCGTTTAATTTACGCGGGCATCAATTTACACGGGCCGGCGTATACACCCGCCCGAAAATTCACGCGTTTGTCGAAGCCGCGATCGTCGTTATCGCGACGCGAGTAGATCCTCGACTCTTCCACCGAGAGATCGCGATACGGGGAGAGGTGAGACGGGGGAGGAGGGAATGTGCGTTTACCCCGTTATCGGGCGAGACATCGTCGACGTTGCGTCCGCAATTGTGTGGTTTCTGACCCGATGTATCGAAAATCGAAGGCGCGCGGCCGACGGGCCGTCGTCTATCGCGGCAATCGATATTCGCCCGCTTTTCACCGTCGCATCGCCGTCGCGTTTCCGCGCGACGTTAATTGCATGCCGACGGAGAGGAGACGCGTCGAACGCGCGTCCTCTCCTCCGGAATCGGCTCGCCCCGACGAGACCCCGGCTTTTCACGCCCGTAAAAAGATCCGCGGCTGACGTTGACAAACGCCGCCGCGATAAGCCCTCTCTTCTTTTTCAGAGAGGCACAAGGAATGCGATAGATGCACTTCTGAGAATCTAGCCTCCCGCCTCTCAGCCTCTCGCACTTGACTTGAACACCGACCCCCCGCCATCCCCTCTTTCATCCTGATAAGAAAAATTAAGTGTCCGGACGAATGATCGATGAAAATCGAGCGTCGCTGTATTGTTAAATCGCAACAATGTGCGGCACGTCGTGTCAAATCTGAGAAGTGCGGAGGCTCGACTTGAAAATTATTTGTTATTTTGTGGGGAAAAACAGTACGAAGGCCACGCCGCGGAT